GTTATTATACGTAATTTTTATTGACATTTTATTGCAGATGTCGAAACGTGAATTTCGCACTATTTTTTCTATGAGTTCAAGCTAGGCCGAAACGCTGCCGAGACAGCTCGAAACATTAACGAAGTTTGGGGTCAAGGAAGTGTCAACGAATGTACGGTCCAACGTTGGTTCCAGAAGTTTCGTTCTGGCAACACCAGCCTTGAAGATGAACCTCATGTTTGGTGGTCTGCCGCATCCTGCATTTCTTTTGCAACGACCTAATACTTATTTGAGTTGGCTAATAATTTCTGGAACACCTTGGTGAGAGAGTTCTAGAAACTTGTTCATCTATTCATTTCACTGCTCTAACTCCTAGAGATAAGGTGCCCTTGTATAGTGCGCACCATATAAGTGCAAAAAATGCCATAAGAGCTATTTGAAAATCAAATGAGAGAATGAACCAAAAGAGAAAGGAAAACTATTGCCGTGTCTACCAACTTTTCGCGCGCGTTGTCGTGTGCGACTCTGCGAAATGCGTCCTATTCAAAAAATAGGTTTTTTTTCAAGGCGCGCGTAGCGCGCCACTACCTGTGACCTGTTAGCTCTATATTACAGATCACTGGATTATGCTATGTTCATGAATATTCTAATTATCATAATATGAGACCAGCTGAGATGGTGCAGAGGCGTGGCACGCTTACCACGCGCACGGTCCGGGGATCAAATCCTGGATCGGCTCCCGCCCAGGCCAACCAAGCCTTCTACCCTCCGGGGACGGTAAATTGGTACCAGATTCGTCTGGGAGGATAAAACACTGACTTGTACATCGGCTGGCCCCGCAAGTCATTGTATAGGCCACATCGCATTCAATAAGCCACTACGATTCTGAATGGAAGTGCAATGCATGTCGCATCCCAAAGGGAATTGACCAAATTGCTAAATATGCAAATATGCACCTTAAGATGACGTCATTGGTGCCATTTCAGTTGTCGCAATCGTTCAACGATATGTCCGTCAGTTGATGGGCATAAATTGGTTTTCCCGCCGTTTTTTGAAAGGCAATTCTCTCGCATCAGGAAAACATTATTGATTTTCGCGAGGAGGTGAACCCCCAAAGCTCGAATGGTGCTCAGCTGCATTTTGCGCTATGCGAGAAACTTTATCTTTCAATCCTAAGGTAGCCTTAATCTTTCTAGAGGAATTGATAAAGGGTCATTTGAAGGGAAAACAATACTGCTGTAGCTAACCTTTCCAGCTTCCGAGACAGTTTCCTTCGAACCGCTAGTTGAT